GAACAAAAGATTATCAATGTATATCTTTCACCAGGTTGGATTATAATTAGAAGATGATAATTACAAAATTTTGTGTATGGGTATTTGTGAGGTGTGAGTGTAGAATACATTATCACTAGATGCTAGTTTGTTTGGGTCTCTAATTTCATAATCTGCCGAGTGTAGTTGTGCAGGAAGGGGGTGAGTGTTAACAGCCTATCATCAGTAGATTTGTGCAACTGTCGGGATGAATGCATTCAACATAGATGTGCGTGAGTGATTTATGAAGAAATGTGTGTCAAATTCAAAAAATGTGAGATCGTGACTTCAAGTAGTTCTATGCTTTTTCAGAATGAGCCGCTGTAATAAGGAATCCTATCAGTAAGAATGCCTAAGCTTTCAAAGATTATACAAGAATTCAATGAAAAAATGGCAAGGGAAAAGAAAACTAATAATAAAAAATTGGAGTGAGAATTAGAAATGATGATATTTTAGGACCAGATTGAGGAAATACCTTTGAAAACTTAGGGGAGGCCATTCGAATAAGTAATCTTCTAACTCTTCTAGTTGTGTTTCTCCGCAACCATTGTTAAATTGTACTTAGCTTAAGTATTTATTGCACGATTTTGAATGCACATTCGAATTGGTATCGACATTATGGCATTTGTCTTCTTATGCTATATATGATTTGTAAGTTGAACTTGGCATGTGAATTTGATACATATGCAATGCATTTGGTATTTTCACAATAAACCTCTTATTTTTTATGGCATTGCATATGATTTATGAACAAATTGTCAATGGTTGTGAAAATGTGTTTTCGGTTGACTCTCATACAAGTTATAAGTGGACCCTTTCCAAAGGATAAGTTTATGTGCTGGTAACATGATTAAAGTATTTGACTCTGAAGTGGTTCATGGATCCAGTAGTCAATGGGGATCATAATACATTGGTGAGGATCTAGGAAGCACGAATACTTCTTGGAGCGGTATCGTGGGAGTGTCAAACATGTGTTCAATACGGTTAGAAGTATCTTGAATAGTGAATCCAGTCAGACGCGGCTAGGACACGATCAAGATACGTCTAGGATATAATCAGGATACGGTCAAGATACATCTAGAAAAATATGACGAGAATTTAAAAAAAAAAAAAAATTGTTGACTATTAAACGAGGTGTTATTCATATATATTTTTTTAATATAATTTTTGTTATGTAACTTATATGTTATGAATATCAAAAAATGGATATTTATTTTGATCCATTTCAATTTTAATTAAAAATTAATATTTTTTAGGTCTTATTATTAATATTGTTATAATATATGTTTTATTTTTAATATATTACAACCTTATATTATTCAAAAAATATATTATATTATTTTAACAGTCATATCTTTGTCGTACTCGTAATCTATATTTTTTAACTTTGCTATATCCCCATGTCCGTATCAGTGCTTCCTAAGTGAGGATCTAATTACATCTTGAGAATTGATATCGCAAAGGTTAATGTAGCTGGTGGACCTAGTTGCCAATGGAGGATTTAATACATCTTTACCGACCTGATAAAGGTCAATTGTTACTCGTCCGGTTGTCTAGCTTTCTTTCTGTTAATCTTAACTGTTTCAGATAATGAAGAACAAAAATAATGAAATTCACAAGGAAGGTTCGAGAGTAGGATTTAAAGGTTTAATTAATTACATATTCTCAGAGACTATATGTGAGAGGCTATAAACTATGATTATTTGTTTGTGTTGACTTTCACAAAATTTCCAATTATGATTATTCACATGCTCTGTTGATCATTGCAACCTACCTACCTTTGGGTTCAAGTGTTATGCATTGATATTTATTCACATGTTGCGCCTAACATGTCCTTGAGATTGGGTTATCCCAAGGGCATACGACATTTGTCATGTCCCCAAGGTAACGCAGCGGGGTCAGGCCACGACATGGTCACTCAATTGGAGATGAATTATTTTTGTATTTTGTATTTTGTTTTTATGGAGAAATAATCCCTTTACTAACCTTAGGTGCGATACAATAAACTAAATAAGCACATTGTCCAAACCATGAAAATAGCTTGGAAGCTTATTCGAAGAACATGCTAAAGAGATATGAGGTGAGATGAAAGACAGTAACTGCTTTTTCCTGTATCGAAGCTATTGTAAGACCTCTCATTTTTGCTATTTTTGGTATCATTTAGTAGTGACAGGGATGTGAAAACATATGTACCATTTCTTGCCTCAAATTTAGTCTATATACCCTATGAAATACATAAAGTATCTTCATCACTCTAAGTTCAAATTGATAAGATGGTTCTTGTCGCCGTCCTTCTTCCATCCCACTTCCACCCAAAACAACCACCCCCCTAAAAAAATTCCATATATGCAGATATCCAATTTAATGAGCTATAATCATTCCAATCGCACATAAATCATGTTGGAGTTTGACTCAAACTCTCATTAGTTATTTAGTAGTTTATTTAGAATGGGTTATTTGTTTTTTAGTCAGTTTTGTTATCCTAGTCTTCATGGAATTATATTATTATTTTAGTAGTAGAATAGGTTTTGGAGCTGTAAGCTTTTCCTCTAAAAACATAGTGGCAGTAGGCTTTTCTTGTAAGCCGCATGTTTTGATTTAATATACTTTGCTTTAATTTGGCTGCAAGGCTTCGTGGCTTTCTGATCCTTAATTGTGTGTGAGATATTTGAGTGTATGATTACTATCACCTTCTACTTTTTATTTTTCTACTAAGAAATAAACACCCCGTTAAGCGAAGAAAGCATTTTGATCTTCATCTGATCTCTCCCGCATTGATTAACATTGAAGAACATGTCGATTTGACCACAGCAACATACAAATTAATGACCATATCCTCCACTCACCGATTAAACATCACTACTTTCCACTCAACATTACCCATTTCCCAATCTCCCTCATTTCAACGTTCTCAGCCGTTTGGCGGTGAACTAAAGTACAGCAATAGAAATTCCCCAACACATGAACAAGGGTTATCTCATAAAGCAAAGTAATTCTTCGAAAAACTTGTATTGTATTTCAGCCAAAAAGTTCAGAACTTACAGAAATGGCGACAAGTAGCTAAACCCATTAAAAATTTAAAGAACAAAGATTTATTCAACTGCTATATCCACATGCATATATGTTATGCAAGCATTTGTATTGAATAATTGAGAAGGGGGCAAAGATCAATAACCTCTGTTTTTGTTGTTTTTATCGCTATTTTGCTCTGGTGGTTGAGAGTCCCTTGATGAACAACCGGGTTTGAGAGCTTTTCGGTTTGTTGAAGTCGACCACCAACTGTTTGACGAAACGCCTCCGATACGAAGTCGAATATCCATTAGTATCTTCTTCTGCTAACACTTGCGCTTACAGCCACAGCTGTTGTTGATACGAACTCTCTCTAGCTAGTGGCTAAGGGCTAAGGGTATTTTGGTAACTGAAAAGAAATTCCTTTCCTTTCCATTTCTTTTTGGAAAAATTACTCTTAAACCCCGTAAGATTTCGGATGATTATAAAAGACACCATTCGTATTATAATTTTGAAAATATGAGAAGGAGAAATTTGTTTTCCGTACTTAGCATCTTCAACACTTTTTTTTTAAAATAGAGAACATCTTTTATAAAAAAATTAAAACAGAGAGTTAATTATTATACACTACTCTAATAGAATTTTTTGTTTCTATCATCTTATGTTTTATCATTTCTAGAAATAAATTTGGCTTCCCTCTCATTTTTTCTCTACTCTTTTACCAAACTTGAATTTTGGACTAATTGCACCAATGGTCCTTAAAGTTTATAACTTACTAAATTTTCGTCCCTAAAGTCCCAATTTAGTCCTCAAAATTTGGATTTTGAACCAAAGTTGTCCTTCTCCCTAACTCCCGTCCAAATCTTTGACGGAAAACAACACGTGTAGAGGATAGAAGGGCATCACTGTCTTTTCTCCTTATTTTCCCGCTCATCCCACCACTTTCTCTCCCATTATATGTCTGATTGAGGAACCCTAATGTGTAATAGAGGCAACTTTCACTGGGGCGAACCAAGGCAAGCTTTATCACAGAACGAAGACAAGTTGCAAGCCAAGCCAAGCCAAGCTTCATCGCAAAATGAAGCCAAGTTTTATCCCAAGGTCCATATGGATCACACGTAATGCAAGTGTGGGAGAAATACTCGAATGTTAACGTCTTGGATAGATTTAAATCCAAGAGGAAGATTCCTTAGAAGTGAGAGAAATGATGTAAATTTTATGAAATTATATTATATGAAAGTTAACAACAATCTTTGTTTAACCTGTGTTTGTTGAAATATGCAACAAAATGGCGCATGATCCTCCTATGTGTATGCGATCGAAGAATATCATACCTAGATTACTCAGGAAAATCACATTGCTAGAAGGGAACCTAACTAGATCTCAACGCAGAGAGAAAGTTGTGTGACTGTTGCTTGTACTTACTTGGTTATGGATGTTAACAAAATGAAGCTGGTCAAATGATATTGTAAAATGAAGCTGCTGGTTATGGGTGTTGAAGTTGCTAAGATGCCAGTTTTGTACTTTATTAATGTAGAAAGTGTATCTTATTGCAAGTTGTAACTTAATGTCTATTTTGTATGTCAGTGCAATTGGTATCGAATTTGTCCCCTAACTTTGTCCTGTCATCAAGTGATCCAACAAACACCATAATAAGGGTTAATTGCATTGAGGATACAACCTATTCAGTGACAAAAAGATCATCTATTCAAAAAAGAGGGAACATTAAGAACTCATTACATTCAACATTTTGTGTCAAAAGGATCAGCTATTCAAAAAAAGAGGGAACATTAAGAACCTATTACATTCAACATTTTTAGTGACAAAAGGATTAGTTATTCAAAAAAGAGAGAACATTAAGAACCTATTACATTCAACATGTTCACTTCCAAAAGGATGCTAGTATCATTAGCCTGTATATAAAATAGGGAACATTAAGCCTTAACACAATAGTTATTGGATTCCACCAGTAGTCATTGAGCTCCTCCTGCTGAATGTGAGTCTTGTGTTGTGGCTGGTGTATTCATTTTATTCCTCCTCACATCCAACTTACCTCTCCTACTTGAAACATTGGTTGCACCAGCTCCTGGACCAATCACTCCATCTAGGGGTGCAACTTGGGTTAGGCAACCCGATTTCAACTCGAGCCTAACTCGAAAAAATTAGGGCTTGTGTAAGGCTTTTTAATACTTGGATTGGACTTGGGTCAAAAAACCTCAACCCGAATTCAATTTGGGCAGGCCTCGGGTTGACCCCTCAGGTTCACAGGTTGAAACTGAATATTAAAATCGGGCTCAACCTGAATTAATAATCGGGTTCAACCCGAATTACTATTATATAAATACAATTTTATAATTTATACTAGGGTTAATCTGATTTTCTTACCCTTATGGACTATGTTTTGCTTATGTTTGTGTTCTGTTAAACTGGTTCTGTACAAGGCAGCAATGTTATATTTTGCAATGGCAGCAGTGCTGTTATTTTTGTTAAACTGGCAGCATTGTTATTTATATTAAACTGGTAGCAGTGTTATGTTTTGCATTGACAGCAGTGTTTATGACTTTGTGTTATGTATGGTTGTGGTTGCGTTGAGTTCTTAATATTATGGCTTTATGTTAAAAACTTGATTGAAGTTGTTGATTGTTAAATTATTTAAATATTATGTAATATATGTATCAGGTTTAGAACATTAACCTGAAATTAGCCTGTAAAGTAATCTAAAATCAGTCTGAAATTATTAACCCGAATTCAACCTGAGCCCGCTCGATTTAAACTCGGGCAGTGCTTGGGTTGAGTTTATCAACCCGAGGTAGAGTTAGGGTTAGGGTCAAGGTTAAAGATTATATACCTAGAGTTGGGCTAGGGTTGACTGTCTAACCCGCCCGAGTTGCACCCCTAACTCCATCTGATATTGCTCCTACACCAGTCACTCCACTTGAAACTACTTCTGCACTAGTTACTCCATTTGACATTGCTCCTACAGTAGTCACTCCACTTGACATTGCTCTTGCAACAGTCACTCCACTTGACAATGTTCCTGCACCTTCTTGGTTGGCTCTCTTTCTTCTTACATTAACACCTACATCAGCCTTTACACTTGTTCCAACAGTTACAGTAGCTCCTATACCATCCTTAACACTTGCCCCTGCACTTGTCCCAACACCTGTGGCTGGATTTATCATAGCAACTCTACAAATTCTTTTATTATGTCCCTTTACACCACATTTTCCACACCTTAAAGAATTTTGGAACTTTCTCAGCTTATTTGGATTTGAATTGATTTGTTCCTCTGGTTCCTTTCATCTTAGTGTCTTTGGCCTCCCTAATTGTTTATGGTAAAATGGAGGTAAATGGGGAGTCTCAGTGCGTATAGGCCTTAACTTTTGCCCATTAATGGGATTAATACTATTCCCATAAGCCTTCATATACGTCTCTTTGTGATACCACTTATGAACATATTCCCCAGGTTCATCTCCCTTGTATGCAATAGCCTGAATGGCATGAGAATATGAAATGCCAGTCAAATCCCATTTTCTACATGCACATGTTTGGGCATCCAAGTCCACAACAAATTGATCACCATAACAATGTCTAACTTCAAATTTAAAACCCCTAGAATAATATGCCATGCAAAAAGAAGCCTCGTTCTTGTTTTTCTCTAGAATTTCTTGAATTTTGGGACATATTTCACCTTCCCAATTTGTCATTGCATTTCTCTTCATATATAATCTCTTTATAAGGAGACCTCTAATTCTCTCCAACATTGATATGATTTTTTTTTTGGTGGAACCTCAACGGTACGAGGGAGATTTTATTAATTAAAAAATAAATTACACCTAGCTAGGGGGGACGTATGTACCTTACCCATCGATGCAATCTAAGTACATGAAAGAAAATAAAAATAAAGAAGACAAAAATGCATGCTTAGTACAGGAAATGGAAAAATTAAAATAACCTAAGCAAACTGCCTAAAGCCTAAATGTGCCAGCTGGTGTATTAAAATACTTGCTGGAATAATGAAGCAGCTGGACATAACAGAACAAGAAATGTGAGCAGCGAACTGAAGCTGTGAGCTGCAAAATTAGAGCTGGGAGATAGACCAAGCTAAAGGATGATCTGAATCTAATCAGACATTTAAGAGCCTTTGCAATCTCTGAAGCTAAGTGAATAAGCTGAGAACTGCTGCAGCTAAAAGTGTGAGCTTAAAGTAGCAGTAGCTGAGAGCTTTAAACTGAATCCAATCATAACTTGTAATTAGTGATAAACTAAGGTAAAATAATTTGATAAATGCTGAAAACAGACTGATAAGGGGCAGCTAAATAGGCGAAAGTGATTTGCTATGAGTCTGATAATGCATCTAATAAGACGCCTGATAAGGAAATTGAAGGGGCAGATCAAGAATCCCATTGCAATGAAACTCTTAACCATGAAAACTAGGAAGAACAGGCTTCCAAAAAGATTTAGTAAATTTTTTTATGTCCCTCCATTGAAGACAATGCAACAACAGAGAAGTAGACGCCATGTAAACCAAAAGAGAGATGGACAATCATTGAAGCCCAGATCCAAACCGAAGACGAAGAACCCGAATCCTTGTAGAGAATAGGCAGAAGATGAATATCCAGTTACGCAGCAGAGAAAAGTCTTCCAAAAACTTTGACACTCCAGATGAAAAAGGTATATAAAAGAAGAACCACCATGAAGAAGAGGCAGAGAACAACCCCAAAATACCAAAATGAAGAACAAGTTCCTTTCATAACCTATCCATCTTGAATAAAGAAGAGTAATGGAAACTGAGAGATCCAAACATATGAAAAGATAAGTAACCATATTTGTTTCTCTGAAATTCCTTTACTTGTAAAATAACTTCGATAATAAGTTTTCTCTTCTTTCAATAACTGAGATCATTTGAATGCAACACAAGAGAGACCTCCATGGAGAGACTAAGGAGAACTCCAACCATCAGAGAGAAAAACACCTGAAAATTATAAAAAACATGAAGAACCAAGCCAGATAGAGATTAAGGAAATTCTAGTGGAGGCAACAGAGAAAATAGAGCCCATAAAACTTGTCAAGATTTTGCTCCAATAAAACCAAAAGCCAAGTAGATCTTGAGATAGATCAGGTGCCTGCTTTATTCTTAATATCTTGAGTCTCTTTAGCCCTCATATTAGAATGATCATAAATTCTTGACTGTATAACTGGACTATTTTTTTTATATTGATATTTGGATGGATAAGCATGTATTCATGAAGCATAGTGAAGTAGAAATCTGGATTGATCCCAGATGGAAACCTGATCTGCATATCTGCATGTGGCATCATAAAGCACCTAGTTGAGGACTTTAAACTTAGAGCACAGAGATTTAATCTGTCTCTGATCCTATAGTAGTAGTTGTCGCACATGTAGATGGAGAGAATTTGGAGAAAAATGAGTATGAGAAGCATTATTACAGACTCCTTGATTAGCCAAATAGTCTCCAACTGCATTCCATTCTCTATAAGAGTGCAGTATTCAATAATCAAAACTTTGTAGAATAGAAAAAATCTTCCGAGAAAGATCCCAAAATTTTCAAGACCATTTAGCTTTCTGTTTGATCAAGTCCACAAGAACCTGAGAATCTAATTTTATGATCAAAGGATAGACTTCTAATCCATAATCCTTCACAAGTAGTAGACCATCCAATAGTGCAAGGACTTCAGCTTCCATGTTTGAGCAAGTTCTATAGTAGTATGAACCAGCTAGAACCATTTGACCCCACTCATTTCGTAAAACCACACCACCACCAACTGGACTTGGATTGCCCTTTGAGGCACCATCGATATTTAGTTTAAGAAAATCGGGTGGAGGGAAATTCCAACAAATCCATTTAGCACTCTTACAAACTACAATAGACAACCTGATATTGAGAGATTGAATCATAAATTGCTCAAAAGCAGTATCCATAGCTTTGGGTTTGAAAATGCTTATCTGTAACTTGAGCCGATGAAGAATAATAGAGACCAAAGAGATGAGAGACTGCTTTTGATTTTCAAATACTCTAAAACATCGTTCCTTCCATAGTTGCCATTAAATCAGAAGGGATATACCTCTTACCAAAACATGATTTCTTGATTGCCTAGGGTGTGTCTTGCACAATCTGATGAATCTGGATAGTGGGGTCTCTAAAGGGAATACCTGAAAGCCAAACATTCCAGCCAATTTGTACCAAAGCTGCGAACTTAATTGGAAAGAAATAAATAAATGAATAGTTGATTCCTCCTCACAGCAGCATAAAGGACATCTACTAACCAATGAGACTCCCAAAGATTTGAACTTTAANTCTTCTTACAGCAGCATAAAGGACATCTACTAACCAATGAGACTCCCAAAGATTTGAACTTTAAATCCAATGGGAGTGCATTCTTCATGAGCTTCCACCCGATTAACTGTGCACTAGGAGTAGAGTGTTGCTTCCAAATACTAATGGCATGTTCATCCTTTGCATTCCTTCTCCTAGATAATTCCCAAGCTGTTTTGATAGAGAAATCCCCCAAAGCAAAGGGCTACCAAATCTGCTTGTCCTCTTGGTTAGAGAGTACAACTCCAGATAATTGAACCTCTTGCAATAGATTCTGATCCCATAGATTAGTTACACTTTGAAGTTGCCATTGACCTTGGACCAGCAGTTCAGATAATTTAGGGTAGAAAACTGGGATAGTTGAGTTCCTAAGACCTCAAAAGTCCTGCAATGTCACCCATCATTTCCATGATCATAAGTTAACATTCACATAAGCAAAAATTTCTCTCTCTCTCTCTCTCTCACACACACACACACACAGATACATTGATGGTACTATCAACTCTTTTTTTTTCTTTTCTCTCATTTCTAATGGTACTTTTAGCATATCGTTGTTAGGCAAACTAAATTGGCACAGAGACACAAACATTTTACAAAAGAAAAAATACATAAAAATATAGGAGAACCAATGTATCAGTCCCAACTGAGTTTAAATCTAACAATACTTTGTATTCTCTCAACATTGTCTTCATTTTATAATCATGTGTTCAGAAAATGAGAAAAGAAAGAAAATCTATTAGCCCTTACAAAACTCTAAAATGGATATGAGATTGTTGACAAAATTGATTGAGGTGTTACCTAAGATTGGTGGCAAGGTTAGATCTTGTATGTTCATAGATGTAGTCCCGACTCCCGATTGTTGTTATGGTCCCTTGCATCACGAGGATATAAGGAGGCAGAGAATAAAGGTATTGTCATGGTTCCTAGTAAGGGAAGAGTAGTCATTTGAGGTGATGTGAGGAGAAGGAAAGGGAGAGAGAGAGAGAGAGAGACGATGGGTCGGAAAGCAGACGAAGAGTGAGAGGAGAACAGAGAACAGAGAAGAGAAAGAGATCAGGACCATCGGATTTTTTGGTCAAATCAATTGGGGTTCATTACCACCGATTTGGGAATGGGCCAATACCATGTTTAATTTGGTAATCACTAATCTTATATTTTGTGTTATTAGTTATTCCTAAGGAATGATTAGCAATGGAAATGAATTTTCATTATCACAAACCAAACAATGGAATAAACATTCCTAAGAAATGATAATTCCATTCTTAAAGTCTAATCCTACATACCAAATGCAGCGTAAAAGTGTTATAATCCCATAGCTATATAACTGGTATTCTCTCTCTCGGTATGAGAGCTTTCTCCCTTGGTTAGGGTTTTTCTGAGATTTTATTCTCATTTCTCTTTTCCCGAGGTGGATCACTTTGTTTTCTCAGCACTACTCACTCCTTTTTCATGATTTCAACTTTCCTAACCCCTATTTACTTCTTCTAGATTGGAATAGTTCACATTCTTCCTTTTTACTCTATATCCATATGTATCACTTCCCCCAAGGTCTCCCCAGATCTTTCTAGAACGATGTTTTGGTTTCCCGAAGCTGCAGTCCTCATCGGTAAGTGTTTTGTGATGATTATACCTCACCGTCTTTCTATCTTCTTCCCCTTTCTCTGTTGCTCCATTTCCTTATTATTCTTACCCTATCTCACCACCACAGTGTTCCTTATACATATCTCTTCCTCGCCTTTGTCTGGTTTTCGCCATTGTTGAGTTACCCTCTTTTGTTTACCCTTGTTACAGACGCAAAAACTCCAAACCCCCAAAAATTCCAAATCCTCAATCCCCTCCCTATAC